TAAGCTGGGGAGCTGGTAGCAGGGGACCTTCCCTGGTCTGGCATATTGCCTTGTTCAGAACAGTCAGGTTTCAAGGATTCCAGACCAGACTTTTAATATATATTGTAGCTAAGAAGTTGTCTTACTTATTTAATAATGTGAGTTAAGGATTCTTGTATATGAAGGGAAAAATATGAGTTATTTAAAGTAATCATATTCTGTGTATGCACATATACGCACACAAAGGTGATTTTTTTAAAACAAACTTGTTTTAGTGAAATATTGATTTGAGACAACCAAAATAGTTTGTGAATGTGTCAATTTCAGCAATTATATTGGCTACTAAAATGTAGGGCTACTGATTTAACTGCACATAACTCATGAAATTAAATAAAAAATCATTGTAATTTTAAAATTAATTGTGATAAAGCTCAGTTTTAATTGCACTGCTAACCAATAAAAATACCAGTTGAAATTCATTAAATAGTTTTGGATATTTTCCTATATTTTAAATTATCATGCAGAATACGAAGTTCAGCGTTCACTTTATATTTTTAATACAAGTATCTGAACTGTGAAAATGATAAACAAAGAAATTGTATTTTTCTTTTTACCTCATACTAGTGCTGCGGTGTGATTTCTTTATCATGAAAGTGTAACTTGTTAATATAGATATACACTAAAATCAAAATCAAAACAATGTACATTTTTAGAACCTAAAAGTTCATCAGCCCTATTTCTTATCCAGTTAGACAATCAAATTTGTTTAAATTTACAAAAGATAATTCTGCTTGCTTCTTATTTACAATGTCACTGAAAGTGGGAATAGGTATTCGTCTGAAACCCTTGTAGCAGGCATTGCAAGGTATTTATGTGCCAGATATGCTAAGCATTTGTGTAGCCCTTTATGCTTTGACCACCATTCCAGATGACATCGTTCCATGCTGCTGATACTTGTTAAAAAATAATGCACTAGTTAGATTTGTAATTCAGCTCCTTGGGGGAGAGTTGTATGTTTCCTGCTCTGAGTTTTACCAGCATTCTGACATATATTTCATATTCAAGCTGTCTTGTATAGGACACTTTTGCTGCAGATTTGACAAAATGTAAAGAAAGTACAATTGCAAGGTTTAGAAGTCTGAGGTGCCTACTAAAATCTAGGGGCCGAGGCGTGCTTTCAAGTGTTACAAGAGGACCACTCTGATGTAGAAATTACAGAACCTGAATCACCAGAAAAAATAATCAAACTTTTGTAGAGGCATCTGACTCTGCTGATGAAAATGAACTTGTGGTGTTCTGTACTGTTTTGGGTAGCGATGGAGTACAACAATCATATTCTTGAGTTACCACCAGCATGGATGCATGTCCTCTGAAATGGTGGTTGAATCATGAAGAGAGAGACACATTTTTTTGTACATAAATATTTTGTGATGTTGGCTACAGAAGTGCTGTATGAATGTCTGTTTTCACTTTCAGGTGACATTGTAAACAAGAATTCAAAATTATTTCCTGAGAATATAAACAAACTTTGTGTAGAAAAGAAGTAAGACTGAACAAACTAGTAAGCTCTAAAGTTTTATATCTTTTTATTTTTGAACTTATTTTTGTGCATAATTCTACATTTTCAAGTTCAATTTTCGTGATAAAGATAAATAGTTATTCCACGTATTTTGAGCACGCCTGTTATTTCGAAATATAAAGGGCTTGCTATTTTGATGTTCCTGTAAACCTCATAGAATCATAGAATCATAGAATAATAGGACTGGAAGGGACCTCGAGAGGTCATCGAGTCCAGCCCCCCGCCCTCAAGGCAGGATCAAGCTCCGTCTACACCATCCCTGACAGATGTCTATCTAACCTGTTCTTAAATATCTCCAGAGAGGGAGATTCCACCACCTCCCTTGGCAATTTATTCCAATATATGACCACCCTGACAGTTAGGAATTTTTTCCTAATGTCCAATCTAAACCTCCCCTGCTGCACTTTAAGCCCATTACTCCATGTCCTGTCCTCAGAAACCAAGAGGAACAAATTTTCTCCTTCCTCCTTGTGACACCCTTTTAGATATTTGAAAACCACTATCATGTCCCCCCTTAATCTTCTTTTTTCCAAACTAAACAAGCCCAGTTCATGAAGCCTGGCTTCATAGGTCATGTTCTCTAAACCTTTAATCATTCTTGTCGCTCTTCTCTGTACCCTTTCCAATTTCTCCACATCTTTCTTGAAATGTGGCGCCCAGAACTGGACACAGTACTCCAGCTGAGGCCTAACTAGCGCAGAGTAGAGCGGCAGAATGACTTCACGAGTTTTGCTTACAACACACCTGTTGATACAACCTAGAATCATATTTGCTTTTTTGGCAACAGCATCACACTGTTGACTCATATTCAACTTGTGGTCCACTATGACCCCTAGATCCCTTTCCGCCATGCTCCTTCCTAGACAGTCGCTTCCCATCTTGTATGTATGGAACTGATTGTTCCTTCCTAAGTGGAGCACTTTGCATTTCTCTCTATTAAACCTCATCCTGTTTACCTCCGACCATTTCTCTAACTTGCTAAGGTCATTTTGAATTATGTCCCTATCCTCCAAAGAAGTCGCAACCCCACCCAGTTTGGTATCATCTGCAAACTTAATAAGAGTACTCTCTATCCCAATATCTACATCATTGATGAAGATATTGAACAGTACGGGTCCCAAAACAGACCCTTGAGGAACTCCACTTGTTATCCCTTTCCAGCAGGATTTAGAACCGTTAACAACAACTCTCTGACTACGGTTATCCAGCCAATTATGCACCCACCTTATCGTGGCCCTATCTAAGTTATATTTGCCTAGTTTATCAATAAGAATATCATGCGAGACCGTATCAAATGCCTTACTAAAGTCTAGGTATATGACATCCACCGCTTCTCCCTTATCCACAAGGCTCGTTATCTTATCAAAGAAAGCTATCAGATTAGTTTGGCATGACTTGTTCCGAAGAGAAAGGGACATTTCGGAATAGCAATTAATTTCAAAATAAGTGCTGTGTAGACAGCGCCAGATTTCAAAATAAGCTATTTCAAAACTGACTCGAAATAAGGTATGCAATTTGCATAGCTCATTTCGAGCTACAGGTGAAGTGTAGACAGACTCAAAGAGATTGAGCTACAGTACAGGTTGGACCTCCCTGGTCTGGCACCTTCGGGACCTCACCGGTCCTGAACCAGGGAATTTGTTGAACCAGGGAAGGTTCTTTGTCACAGCCCCACAGCCACTGACTTTTAGTGCTGCCAGCCCCCAGCCCACACACACTACCCTCAGCTCTATCCGGGCTGCCTGCTGGGTTGCTGGCCCTACTACTGCTGCCCTGGCTGGACTGCCTGACAGGCTGCCTGTGGGCTCCAGCAGCCCACATTGCTGCAGGCTGACACAGGTTCTGACTCTGGCCCCGTGCACCGACAGGTCTAACTCCATCCCTGCTGCCGCAGGCTGCCAAAGATTGCTACCAGCTCTGACCTGGCCGCACTGCCGCAGGCTGCCAGGGGCTGCTGCGGTTGTCAAGGACTCCAGCTCCAGCTCCAGCCCTAGACCTGCAGCAGCCCACAGGCTCTGGCCCTGCACTGCTGCTGGCTGCCTGTGGCTCTGGCGCTCTTGGGGGGCTCCTGGAGGGTTTTTGGGAGCTGCTGCCAGCTCAAGCCCCAGCCCCACTTCCGCAGGCTGTCTGGGGCTCTGGCTCCGGCCCTCTGCTGCCACTGGCTCAGTCCTGCACTGCAGGTGCTGCCCTGGACCCAGTCTCAGAGCCGCAGGCTGCCAGGGGCTGCTACCAGCTCCAGTCCCACTGCTGGGGGCTGCCACCAGCTCCAGTTCCTGCCATGCCTTACCCCATTGCTTCAGCTGGCCCTACTTCTGGATTACCCTCCTGCCGCTAGGCTACTGGGCTTTTTGATCCAGCAACATCTGTAGTCCTTTGCCGGACCACAGATGTTGCCAGACCAGACAGTGGTGGCTTTGGGAGGTGCTACCTGTACTTGTATGAGGTGAACTAAAAAATATTATTTTTGTTTTTTACAGTGCAAATTATGCAATAAATAAATATAAAGTGAGCACTGTACATTTTGTATTTTGCTTTGATTGAAATCAATATATAAGAAAATACAGAAAACACCTAAAATATTAAAATAAATGGTATTCTATTATTGTCTTTAACAGGATTAATCATAATAATTTTTATAGCTTAACAGACCAAAAAAACATGCCAATAACTAAACAACATTTCAACTTTGATTGAAAATAGCTTTTCTTTAGAAATTGCCCTTAATTTTATTTTAAAATAATACTTTTAAAGGAAAAAGCCCTCAAAATAAAATAAACATTTTTGCCAAAAAATATCATTATTATTATTTTTAGAATATCTTTAGGAAAAAAGTGTATTATTTACACAACTTTAGTATATAGTACTTTCTAAAAAGATGATATACTCAGAAATAGGTCCTCTCGTAAAAGTTTGGATCTGGACATCTTCAAAACTTGGGTATATCCCTGTGTGTTCGAGACTAAGATAGAGAATGAGGCCAGCTATGTAATTCTGATTTGGATCCAATCTTCGTCCCCAGTTGGGAATGTTCAGTTCTAACACTTTAGTTTTGTTCCGCCACCATTTATTCTTAGAAGGCCAAAGTATCCAATATAAGAAATACTGAAGAGTTTCCTTACTTACTATACATTTTAGAGAGATTGTGCCTATCTGTCTGTATGTCTGTCTGTCCATGAGTCAGTTTGTTCAAGAACTCCTCCTAAATGGTAAGAGCTAGGACAGCCGTGGCCAACCCATGGCTCGCAAGCTACATGTGGCTCTTCGCCCCCTTAAAGTGAAGCTCATGAAGCCTCCCCCGTGGCTCGTGAAACCGCCTCTGCACCCCTAGAAATGGCCCCTGGTTCCCTGTGCTCACTGGGTGCAGGGGAGTCGTCCGGAGTGGCAAAGCAAAATGGTGCCAGTAAGATGGCATCGGCCAATGGGAGCCTGATGATTTTTTTAAAGGGGCAGGTTTTTTTTTTTGGCTCAACAACGTTTTCTCCCCAGCTCATTGCACTATATGCACAACTATTTTGGCTCTTTGCCTGTAACGGGTTGGACACCCCTGAGCTAGGACTATCAAATTATGCAGCTTCCTCTTATGCCAGGATAATGGGATGTGTGTGGAATGCAATTGTTTTGCATCAAACATAAAGGGAGGGGTATGATAGCAGGGATTTGTATTCTCATGAATGATCACGGGGGCAACAAGCACTTCAGCCCCAGGTAGCAGTCGCAAGTCAGCAGCATGGCCCCTGCTGCTCCAGGCTGCCCCCAGGGGTTAGGTACACACCATGCCACATGGTCCCCACCACTCTGGGCTGGCCCTCAGGTCAAGCCCCCTCGGGAGAAGCCAATGAGAGGACTCTCCCACCGCCTCTCCCCCCCCATGCCGGTCCCAAATCCAGGCAATACCAGGTAAGTCTTCTAGAAACTTATAAATGCTTCACTGATTTTTATTTGGATATTGTATGTGAAACCCTGGCCCCAGAGGCAAAGCTTCCATTGATTTCAATTGGGTTAGGATTTCACCCAGTATGCTAAAGTCTGGAGCTTTTCTGTAATTTAGGAACACTCTGATATACATTTGCTGAGCGGGCCGTGTCTATCCTCAGTCACAGTTTTTAAACTCCCCCAACTGTTTGTATGTGTGCTCCTGTAAAGAATATAATAATTCATATGCACTCACTTTATTTCTGTCTTACAGTTTCCAGTGGAGCAGAACTTTCAGTTGTACAGTATCCTCAAGAAATCAATGTTTCTCTTGATTCAACTGTTTGGATACTGTGTGAATTTGACTACCCAGAGAAAGCTGAAGTTGATACAGACGTGTACTGGAGGAAAGGCCCTACCTGTAATCAGCCTGGGCTCCAGTCAAGCACAAATACCTCTCATGTTCAAAAGTCAAAGGTACAAATTAAAACAAAAGAGTCCAAAAGATTTTCAATCTTAAAACTGGACAACGTTCAGATGGACGACAGTGGCATATATTTCTGTGACTTAAATCTAAGTGAACCACCACCAGTAAGGCGCAAATGTGGAAATGGCAGCAAGCTGACTGTACATGGTAAGAGAGTCTTAGAAATAGACATGGTTTTATACAGAGATGAGCTAAATTACTTGCCAGTTTTATTGCCTTTTCTCCCACAGTCCCAGAACTTTGTTGTTTTAATTGCACCTGACTCAAAATCTGGGTAGGAGTGGAAGAAGACAGGATGGAATTGTAGGTACATGTATGGAATAATGACACAAAGAGCAATACATTTCAAGATTTTACAAAAAGCTATTTGTGTGTGCGGGGAGGGAAGTTGCCACCCTGCTTCCCTCACTAGTCAACTCAGAGAATTGAAGGCCAGAAGGTACAATCAGGATTATATAGTTCTAGTTTGACTTTTGCACTGCAGACTACAGACCTTCACCCACCCACTCCTGTAATTGACCCATACCCTCTGGCTGAGTTACTGATGCCCTCAAATCATGTTTAAAGACTTCTAACCCATACCCTCTGGCTGAGTTACTGATGCCCTCAAATCATGTATTAAAGACTTCAAGTTCCAGAGACTCCACCATTTACTCTAGTTTAAAGATGAAAATTACCCCACGCACCTCACATTTCTTACCTGTACTTTTATAGTAAATATAAATCAATGATAACCCAGTACAATTTGTGTGTTTCAAGAGGTTGCCCCTGAAGGGTCAAGGAGAGTGGGGAGTGAAAGTGTCTGTCTTTTAGATTGTAATAATATTTTCAGTGCTTTGTGAACCTTGCCCATTTGACTTTAATGACACACATAGGATCTACTGACCAATCAGTTGAGAAATCCTCTCTTTAACAACACAGATACTTCACCCTTCTGCATTCTCTAAACAAATCAGACTGGACATTAGGTTAACTCAGTAGTCTCCAACCTTTTTACATCCAAGCACCCAAGATCACTTTTTAAATGTCAGGACAAGCCAAAATCTACCCCATCCCTTCCCCAAGATCCCACTCCTTCCTTGAGGCCCTGCCCTCTCTGTTCCCCTCCTCTCCATCACTTGCTATCGCCAGCCCTTACTCCAGGGGTCTCCAACCTTTTTAAGCACAAGATCACTTTTTGAATTTAAGTGCAATCCAGGATCTACCTCAAACCTAAGTACCCTTGCCCCACCTCCTTCATGCCCCTTCTCCGAGGCCCTGCCCCTGCTCTCTCCGTCCTCCCATTCACCCTCCCTTTCACTAGGCAGGGGCAGAGGGTTGGGGCACAGGCTCTGGTCTTGGGCTAAGGGATTTCGAATGTGAGGGGGCTCTGAGCTGAGCCTGGGGCAGGGAGTTGAGGTGCAGGAGGGGGTTCAGGGTGTAGGCTCTGTAAGGGAGTTTGGGTCTGGGGGGGCTCAGGGCTAGGGCAGGGGCTTCGGGTATAGAGGGGGGTACATGACTGGGCAGGGGTTTGGAGCTGGCTCCAGCTGGACACTGATTACCACAGGTCACTCCTGGGTGGTGGTGCAGTGGGGTTAAGGCAGATTCACCCTGGCCTGGACCACTCTCAAAACCAGCCAGCAAACTCCCTCCATCCCAGGCCCAGTTGTCCCCCTCTCCTCATTCTGTGGAGATAGAATACAGGGTAGAAGAAGGGGCACCCTGACATCAGCACCCTCCTCTCCCTTCCCTACTCTGTACCACAAGCAGGAGGCTCCCGGGGTGGGAGGAAGCTCCAAGGAAAGGGCAAGAGTTGCGCAGCAGTGGGAGGAGGGGCAGCTGAAGTGCTGCACTTGAGAGCCTCTTGCCCAAACCAGGCAAGATCACCTGTCAGAGACTCCAAGAACTACCAGTAGATCCCAGACCAACTACCAAATGTTTGATTTCCCACTATATTCACTGTCCAATTGTATTTTGCTAAGGCTCCTTCAGCTTTCAATGGCTGCTGAGATAAATTCTCTTTGATACTAGAGCACCAATACTTTTTGACTTCTGTTTTAGAAAATAAGTTGCCTGAAATTAAATGAAGTAGTCATTGCCATGAAAATGGCTTGTTTCTTTATTATAGCAATTTGTTGTCACATTCCAAAGAGGTTTTCGGAGGCCTTATGTGTGGCATAACAGCAGCTCATGAGCCACATGTGGCTTTTTTACAGTTGTAGTGTGGCTCACAGAGCTCCGGCAGATGGCTGCCATGGGGCTAACGTCTCTAATCCCACCTCAACTCCACAGGGTTGAAGCTCTGAGCCACAGCAGGTGCTCCTCAGCTCTTGAAAATCTGAAGATTCTCAGAGGGTCAGTGAGGTTGGCTACCCCTGTTTGAGTTCTACAGGAGGTCAGACAAGATTATCACATTGTTCATTTCTGGCCTAGGAATATGTGAATTCACTGGAAATGTCTGATTTCACCCATTTTATAATCAAGCTATCATTCTGTTCATTTCATGCTTTTCAAGTGAAACTGTTCATAACTCTCTCCAGAAGCTCAAACCTTTAACCTGAAATCATTAGTCAAAGAAAATGTGATACATATGAATAGAAAAAGCTCAAACCTTTAACCTGAAAACATTAGTGAAAGAAAATGTGATACATATGAATAGAAAGCCAACCATGATCAAGCCCCATCTAACTTATCATATAAAACACTCATCTGGAAAACAAACACCTTTTTGGTTTCTAGATACTTAAATGTCCTTTGCTTTATTTCAGAATCCAAATGCAATAGCAGTATCAGGCATGAAAAAACATCATGGGTGTGGTTCTTTCTCCTTGGATATAGCATCTGTTCTTCCAGTATTCTCATATTTTTCTGTGTAAGTAACCATTCCCAAATAAGTATTATAGAACTAAATATTATGCTAGCATATTTCTCATTGAAAGAGATGGTTGAGTATATTTCAAACATGCATAAAAGCATTTTTTAATTTACAGCAGGTGAAGAGCTACAAGTAGAATCTAGATTCTTTGCCCATTTCATGTGTGATCTGGAGGAAAGACCAGGGCATGTCTGTGAAAGAAATGGGGTACGGTCACAACCTGCTCTGATACCTTGGATGTCAGTAGCATCACCATAGCATAAAAACCTCACCCTGAGCTTCCACCAAACCAGCTTTCCTTGAAGGGTGACCCCAATAAACTGTCTGGTCTTGAATCTTCCCAAACCCCTCTTATCTGCAGTGTCCAGTTTCTCTTACTGAAGTAACACCCAGTTTACAGCTTCCAAAGAGTCAGGACACATAACAGCTGGTTAGTTTGGCTGGTGAGATATGCTTCAACTGAATACACAGTGTGCCAGGGTATGGTCACAGAAGCCCCCTTGGAATTGTTCCCCAGCGCGCTGAGCATGCCATTGACACCCACCTTCTTGTTCTCTAAAACTCCCCACCACGCTGTCCTGCTGGGCCAGATTCTCTGGTCTTCTGCCAGAAAAGGCGCAGGGTTGGGGTTACCACCCCTCTGCAGAGCAATGCAGACACTAAACAATTTCAGCTCCGGGAGGATACAGGTGCTAGGGCACAGTACCCAGGAAACCAACACTCAAAAGGGATCAAGCCCCAAAATAAATGCATCTTTCATTGTGAAAAAGTTTTCCACAGTGAACGTTCATCAGGTAAGTCCCGGTTATCAATGATAAAGTAATATGCAAAATGGCTGTACCCCCTCCCCCCCTCCAGGTAACAATTATTTATACTGGGCTTGATAGTAAACAAAATTGTTTTTATTAAGTACAAAGACTAGGATTTTAGTGGCTGCAAATGAAAACAGACAGATCAAAGTAAGTTATAAAACGAAAATATGCTGTCACTGGGTGGCTTTTTTCCTGTACTGACTGGCTGGTTGTAAGTGGTTGATTTTTTGTGGTTGTGGGTGTTTTTAGCTTGAGAGATAGGACAGGGAAGGGGCTCCATAAAAGTTTTCTGCCCTGGCCCAGTGGTATGGCTAAGCCCACTCCTGGGATTGGTTTTCTGGATGAAACTTTTTCCACAAGAAATTCACCGTCACATCTGGCAACCTTTTCTGGCAGTTCCATCAGAAGCCTAGAAATGAATTTTCATGAGTCACACCAGATCAAGTCTGAGATGATTTGTGGAATGGTACAGGAATACCTACAAGAGGCCTTTGTATCTTTTGGTGGATACAAGCCTGTGGTTGTCAATCCAGCATCTTCCATGAGCCCTAAATCAATTCCTTGCTCTCTTCCAAATACAGTTTTTAAGGGGCCTTAAAAAAACCAAAACAAACCTTACCTTTTAAAAATGACAGTACAGAAATATGTTTAAAATACTAAGTGGGGGAGAAAAATATTTAATAATATCACAAATACCCTCCCGAATATTAATTCATTTCATAGCAATTCAAAAGATAGAATATAAGCAAACACTTTTTCTGCTGCCTGGAAATGGTTTGCTTTTAAGATTGGTAATATATTGTTGGATTAATGCAATATATTTCACTGCAAAATTTTAAAGCAATAGCAGTTTTAAGTAATGTGTTCTGCTTTTCTTTTTTCACAAATTTAAGTAAAAGTATCCCACAAAGTCTCCAGATTTCATCCATTCAATCTCCTTGTGGTGTCAGAAAATTTATATACAAATTAGCCACTGTATGGTAGTCAGTATATCACTCTAAAGTTATCATGCTAACCTTAATATTCTGCTAGTTTCTAAAGATTAAATTTACTCACTGCATAAAGGAGCTGGGTAACTTTTATTACACTTGTCATATGCCTGCGCACATTTCAAGTAGCACAGAATCCAAACACAACTCTTGTGGAGCTTTTCTTGTTAAGTCTGGTTGATGGTTTCTAAGGCAACAATGTATTTAATGACAATTTGTTATTTACTGCTTAATGATATTTTTAATAGATTCTTCGGTGCTGTAAAAAGTATAGGATCAACTCAAGAAATACGGATGACCTCAGTACCTTGCCAAGTGAATGGACTTATGATAAACCATCCAGGGCTGTTAATAATGGATTTAATCAAGAATATGAAGATATGACGTTAATGAGGAATTTCACTCACAATGAAAGGAAGATATGAAAAATGTGGATGCATTCATAAGTGAATAACATTAGCACATGTAGCAAGTTCTCTTCTATCCACACAAAAATATTTGGTTAATTTAGTGTTGCTGAAGTGAATTCATCCCAACACAATCTCTAAAAATCAAAGAAACTACCAGTTAAGGCAACATAAAAATCAAAGCCCATCTCACTGTGTATGTCAGGAGTGGGGAACCTTTTTTTGGTTGGGGCCCACACACAAGAGAAAGGCAAAACCACAAACCAAACCAAACATCACTGACAAGGCTATCAACAAGTAACCCCCCCAAAGTCTTCGATCTAGCTTCCATCTGAGAAGGGGTGAGGAGGGAAAAAAAGAGACTCTTCACTCACGCTCTGGCCCCGCGGGGGGATGACCAAGTCTCGGTGCTTCTCCCCTCAATGGGGTTGCTGGCACTCATGCTCCAGCTCCATGGTGAAAGAGAGGAAGGTTTGGTGACTTGTGTGTGGCTAGAGTGTGAGTGCTGGTTTCCTTCATTGCAGGGCAAGCCCTGGGCCTCAGCGTGGGCCAGATCAAAGTAATTCAGGGTTGGATCCAGCCCATGGGCTTTAGGTTCCTCACTCCTGGTGTATTTTTACTACGCAAAAGCACTCAGAATTCTTGGACAAATCTAATTCCTCTTAATCACAAGAACAAAAGTACAGCATGAACTCTTATCTTTGATTAGATTAAGTTGTATTCCCCAATCCACATGAGCACAAATGTGGTGGCAAAATCTACAAATGTGCTTTTCTATTGAAAAGAAGGATGTCACATTTAGAGTTGTGAGTTGGACTGTGTTTGAGAGGAAATCCCACTTATCCCCATCCTACCATTTTGTCCCACCTCTATTTCCCGCTTTTGTGCCATGTGTGTCTCTTGACTCCTTTCAACATTTCCCAGGGTCAGATATCCAGCTGTTTCTCTCACTCTCATCACCTTGCATATCTACACCTCTCAACAAAATGAAACAACAAAATATAGCTTGTGTGTGTGTGTGGGGGGGGGAAGTAATCTTACTTTAAAATTACTAGAAACATACTGATGTGCACATAATGTACCTGGGTAAATGCATGAGCTCATTACTATAGCCTTTAACTTTTCTTCCCTGATTCTTCTTTCCCGCTCATGTGTCATGTCCAAAATTAAATTGTCAACTCTTGGGGCAGGGACAATGTCATGTATATGTACAGATAAGGTACCTAGCACACTTGTAGAGACTGTATACATAATTTAGTGAGGCTGCATAGAAATAGTTTAATTTGCATAGTGATTAAAATGGACTTGATATGGTCCTACAACAGAATGGATAATGGTTGTGTATAAATGACTTAGGGGGAGTTAATACTTCTGGACAAAATCTACTCAAATTATCTTGGAAAAAAAGGGATTTTTTTTCATAAACTGGTATTCAAACTTGAGTATTCTTCTGACTCAGTATCGATGAGTAGATAGCACAAAGACAAGTAACCACCTTGGGTGAAAGGAGGAGGTTGCTGTACCTAAAAGGCAGAAGATACCACAGACATTCTTTCCAAGGTGTCTTCCTCTCAGCAAACTCTCGAAGTGCTGTGATCAGGGTAAAAGACTAAAGAAATCCCCACCATGCTTTAAATCATGGTGAGTCTGTAGTATTTTGTAACATTAAATTTAATGATAGTCAAACGAGGCTTTCTGTAATATTTGTCTAGGCATTTAGATGTTATCTTTTATTTAATGAGACACTATCTGTTAACCTGCCAATAAAAACACTTTGGTTTAAGCATAACTAAATTGAGAACCTGGCTGTTATTTGGGATAGCTCCTGTCTGATATACTCGCAGAATAATGAATTCTCGTTTTGGGAAAAGAAGAGGAAAATGAAATGCCTAAGTACTGAGTCAAAGGGAGGGAGAAGACTTATCTTCTCCAAAGTAATACTAGGTAAATCACATACAATCAGATTTTCCATCTAATATTAGTCAATTGGTCTAATATTAGTCAATTGGTCCTAACCACTTTCTTTTAATTGATATGGAGTGAAATATACGCTTCTGTGTACTGCAAATAAGGTTCTTAGATTTCCAAAACACAGTAACTGAGCCCATAATTGTCTGTTGAAAAAAAGGTCGGTTACAAAAAATGGGATTTCCCAGAGAGACTGGATTCTTCAGCTGTGTATTCATGTAGTCCTGTACCACAAGTTCCCAGTTTTCTTCCAGAACTATTCCTAATCCTTTGAATACATTTTATTCTCTAGTGGTTTTGGGAGCTCTGGCCTCTATCCCCAAATCCAGCTGACTGACTATAGCTTGAGGGCATTTATCATAGAGCAATGTCATTTCCCAGGTTTGCTTTATCACCTCTAATTCAGAGGCTAATTTTCTTCTTCGTGGAATCTCTTCCACAAACCTAGACATATTTAATAGGTCATTAAGGCTTCTAAATGAAGTTGTCCCTTGAAAAAAGTTTTGAGGAACCCTACAGTGAATACAAGCACCCTAGCAGACAGAAATGATTTATCATACCACAGTTTAAGAAGCATTACCTTGTCAGGAGCTAAGAACAAGACTCTATGGTGTCATCAGGCCTGACAACAGGCCACAAACCATTAGATCTGTCTAATCAACCACACAGTTAACTCATATCTCCTCATAGGCTGTATAGCGTTCAGCATGTCATTTGCTTTTTCCCTCAGTGTTATCTGATCTAATATTACGTTTAAATTTCTAATTACCCACCTTTAGGGTTGACAGGTTCTTTGTCCCAGGATCAGGCCCAGTATTCACTTATTATATGATTGGGAACCTTGATGTGCACAGTTACAACCCTCACTCTATAGAAATTCTTGTTTATTTACAAATATAGTTTATTAATAAAGTTAGCAGTGTCACAAACACCCCAATTTACCTAGGGAATGTACATCCATATTTCCATACCATATACTTACATCATTCCTTCTAGAACAATCTTAGGTTAGCCCATCATCTTTCTCATTATTGCCACCTTCCCCATCACCAGGGGCCATCATTCCAGCCCTTCCAAGGACTACATCTTCTTCTCTCTCTCGCTCCTAGATTGGGGTCACATTTGTATACTATGTGATGCTGATAACAACATGTTTGATGCATGTTTCTAATGTTGAAGTGCTTTTTTTCCCTATAGATCAGTGTATCATTGCTCTCAACTTATTATCATATACATTAATTCGTTACCATGGTCCTTTGTGGTCATCTATGACATCCTGTCCTGATTACTCAACTCAGCCTGAACCAATTATTTTAGGACTTTGATATAATGATGCATCTGCTGAGTCTGAGGAAATTTTTCCTACCATCCTATGTGGGTGAAGGGTCACAGACTTAAGTTCTCCCTTTCAGTTCCAGGAAACCATAAATAAGCTATGATCCATATTTGGGTGAGACCATGTCTCAACCATGGAAATCTGATAACCTTAACTTCTGCTGATCTTGCAAACGGCCTGCTGCAGCATGGACAAAAGATAAAATATAGCCCCATATTACCTGACCTGGACTTTGAGCTTATGTGTGTTTTTTCATTCAAGTGCAACCTTGCCCTCTAATCACCTGTAATGCAAACATGGCACTCATTGGAAAGTGCATTCAGAGGCTGAACCATTTTGTTATATCCTAGACCAGGAACCACTGCACTGCAGGGGAACCCGATTCACCAGACAGCCCTTGGGCAGGGCTGTACTGCACCCAAGTTGCTCCTACGTATAATGGCATCTGGACTGCCACACAGCCCAGACAGTGCATGGCACCAATAGGCTTGTGGTTGGCTGTGTGGGGAGGAGGTAAGCAGCATATGCACACAGACAGGTACAAGCAGCAGGACCACTAATTTGGGGCTCTTGCTAGACTCTTATTTACAAACATGCCCTGGCCCCAGCTATGAAAGTGTATGGACCTGTACCCAGCAGGTCGATGGCAAAGCCCCCCCAAGGAGTTGAGTGCTGCTGTGCTAGTATTCAGTGGGTCTTCCCAAAATGCAATGGGCAGGCATAAGGCCTAGTGTATTATACCTCAACCCAGACATCAGTCAAGCTAACAGCTAACACAAAGGTCCTGAGGGAATGCTGACAGCAGCTTTGCAACATCTACCTCCCACTCTCCTGAGTGTAACCATTTGGCCAGGTAAATATGCAATCCCTGCCCCAGTTATTCCAGTCTGAGGCACTGGCAGGCAGGGCACATTGTGCTACAGAACAGATTTTAGCAGATTTTTTTGCATTACAGCTCTTTATTATCTAATTAATCTAAATTAACACAACCATATTATTAGCACGATAGGCAAGTAACTTGATAGGGTACATCAGCCTTTTGCATCTAATTCCCTCCAAAATTCAAAGGCTAGTAAAGAAGACAACTGTTCATTCCCATCTGCCTCCTCACCAACAAGACTGGTAGGGGATTTCCTCAGTTATGCTACAATATCAATCTAACCCCACATTAAAATGTTTGACCAGCACTTGATCATGTCACATCTAGGTAAACTGTCCTTACCTTCAAAGCCATTCATAAATCAGCTCTCCCTTTTCTCTCTATTCTCATTTATTTTCATTGTCTGCCTCTCCATGTAAGCACTGCAACTAACCATTTATTAATCATTTCCCCTTTTCATTCTTTATAGGACTTCTTCCTTGCAGCTGTCTGTGTCTGGAAAACTCCTGAAACCATCTGAGTCTGCAGATTAGATACAACAATAAGATTTGTATGTATTCCCCTAAAGTTTTCTGAAATTTCTGTCTTTCTCCAAAGTTTTCTTTATTTAACAAAACACTTCAACTGACTGTGAAATGCTTCAGAGACTCTGTAGTTCCTTCCTGAAACCCTGGATCAGCCTCCTGGCCTTTTCTAAAGGTTTCTTTCTGCATCTATCTCCTAGTAGACCTCCCCCCTTCCTGCGCACAGAGGACCAACGATCCTAAACCAAGCCAATCTCCTCTGTCTGAACAGGCTCTTTACTCTTCGAGTGCTGCCTCCAAATAGTCACGTGAACCTTGGCTACTTGACTCAGTTAGTTAGACAAAGCCTTCAGACAGGGCGCTTTTTTTGTATATGTACATGCTATAGGACCAGAGATCTGTTGCATCTATCTATTCAAAATGGAGAAAAGGGAATAATATTAGCCTATATCCTAGAGTGATGATTCCCTAACTAGAAATTGTGAAATACAGTGAATTATTAGGGCTAGTCACTAGAACTCAAAATCTCCTGGCTTCTATATCTGAATACAAATTTACATTCCTTCTAGGTTAAGCAGAGGAATGTTGTCAAAAGTGCTAACAACTCATACCCAATCAACTAGATATACTCAAAGGATGAATCAAAAGCAATTGTAATTGGAACATTCAATGGTTCAGTTAATGGCAGTTTTTCTGCCAAATTCTAATGATCTGCTTCACCTACTTCAGCACTCCGGATCTGAACATAAAAGTCACCAAAACATTTCTGAATGGGAAAAGCGCACTTTAAAGGTAGAAGGCAACTTGGATGACAGTAATAATGAAATGTTGGCTGTAACTCAACCTCAGTAAGGCTTTTGATGCTGTCTTACATGACCTTCTTGTAAACAAACTAGAGAACCTACTTTAAGATGGGTATACAACAAGTTGCAAAATTATACTCAGAGTAGTTAACATAGCTAAGAACCTACTTTAAGATGGGTGTACAAGTTGCAAAATTATACTCAGAGTAGTTATCAATGGTTCAGAGTCAAACTAGAAGGGCATATTGAGTAAATCCCACAGGGACAAGTTCTAGATCCGGTTCTATTCAATATCTTCATATATGATTTAGATAATGGCATAGAGAATACACTCAGTATATTTGAGGAAACCAAGCTGGAAGGGTTGCAAGCACTTTGAAGGACAAGATTATACTTATACAAAATGGGAAATGACAGCCTAGGAAGGAGTACAGGCAGTCCCTGGGTTACGTACAAGATAGGGACTGTAGGTTTGTTCTTAAGTTGAATCTGTATGTAAGTCGGAACTGGCGTCAGCCGCT